TGTCCATGCTAGGATCAATACGGTGCTGGGCTTTGATATCTAGTGAACAGACAAGCCTAGCCATCAGTTCCCCAAAGGTGACATGGGGTTCCGCCGGTGATCCCGGACCCTGAGTTGTGATGGCTACATCAGGGGAGGTCGAAGCCACTTCAGAGTCATCCGATTTGGTCCTGTATTGCAGCGGGCCACTAGAGGAGGAATCCCCTGGTGAGACGGGATGTCCCAATCTCTACGGCCTGGAGGTGGATGGGTCTCCTCTCAGAACTGGGGAGCGAGCCGACGGATAATAGGTGAAGGATGGGTAGACATCCCAGCCCCCGCGATGACTACCATAGTGGGGTTGGTCCCATTCCTCCATAAGCTGTTCCGGGGAATGACGTTGGTGCTGTGATTGAAAAGAGACCGGTCCCGTAGTTGGTCCAGGGTGCAGCATTGGTGTTGGAGAACGTGCTGTTGGTGGGGAGTCATGAATCTCGCCATCAGAAATGGATTCGTGTAGCGGAACCTTGGGTCGCTCGGGGGACGAAGACACCGAGCGCATGACGCATCTAGGGGACCCTGGTGGAATCACTTGCATAGTGGTCTGCAGTGATGGGCCCATCGGCATCAGTACTGTTGCGGCCATCGGGACCGATGGTACGGACGATCCCGAATCATGGTGTCGACCCTGATCGGGTTTCCTAGGCTTATGGGCCACCTTATCCGATTTCTCCTTCCTCGACTTCTTATGGCCAGAGGATTTATCGGATCCTCCATGCTTCTTCTCCTTTTTCTTATGGGGAGAAGAAGGAGGTTGCTGGGTTTCCACAACTGGGGCACCATCAGCCAATGGGCGCAGTGGAGGCGCGGCAGAAGCCGAAGTAGTCTTAGCGGCCATTTGGTCAGATTGCATAAGGGCCCGGTCCCATAGCATCTTCCTCAGGCAGTTTTCACGACTTTTTCTCACCTGTTTGGTGAAGGCCTGACAATGGCAGCATTTATCAGTCCTGTGTCCCTCGCCGAGGCAGAGGAGACACAGATCGTGTGGGTCGGTAGGCGACATCTTCAACCCACACTGAGAACATTTGCAGAAGGTCGCCTGCTGTGCCATCGGAAGAAGAAATGAGGAGGAAATTGTAAAGAGGGTAAGATAATTTTTTTTTGTTTTTTTAGAAAGTCGAAGAGTAGAGGAAAAACTCAAACAGGGGAAAAAACTTGGAGACTAGCTAAGACAACAACTAGTAACAAAAAGAAGATAGCAATGGAGAACAATATGAACGAGAGATAAAGGCTCGAGGCACAGCGAACGGTGGTTGCAAAAGACTGAGAAAATGGCGGACACTCCACTCTATTTATAGCGTTGAGGGGGAGGGGAGCGGAGTTTTCCCGCCAAAAACTGTTAGCTTTGCAATCTTTCCGGCCTTAGGCACTGCGCAGGCACAGCACCCATATGTGTGATGCACAGAGGCCACGGCGAAGAACTGGAAGGCATCCTGGTCGATTTGGAAATGCAGGAAGTGCCTGTGTTCTGGCTGCTTGGAAATATGGAAATAGGCATCCTTCAGGTCGATGGAGGTGAACCATTCTCCTTGGTTGAGGAGAGGGAGGATGCCCTGGAGTATGACCATTCTGAATTTCTTGGGGGTTATGAACTTGTACACCCCCCCCCCCCCTTAGGTCCAGGACAGGCCTGAGAGTCCTATCCTGTTTGGGTACTGTGAAGTACTTGGAGTAGAAGCCCATGAGGGCTGACGGGGGACATGCTCTATCACCCCGTTATCCAGCAGAGCCTGGACTTCCACCCAGAGGGCTGGAGATGGGGGAGTGGTTTTGACACGACTGAGGAGCAATAGAGCATGAAATTCAATCCTGTACCCCCATTGCATGATGGACAGGACCCAGGAGTCAAAGGTAATGGCCTCCCAAGCTGGGAGGTACTGTACTAGAACATAAACGCTGGTGCCTGGTATCCTGGCACTTCCATGGGAGCCTTTGGTGGGGTTGAGGGTCCTGCCTCTTGTTGACATATGGTGCTCTGGGGCATGTGGAACGGTCAGGGACTGGGCAGCGATTGGGGGCCATGGGGGTTCCCTGCCATCTCCTTTGCACTGAGCTCTGGCCAAAGCCCATGTGCTTGGCGGTGGTGCAAGCTTTATGGAGAGAATCCATGTTCTTGTCTGTATGTGCAAAGAGGCCTTCGCCATCAAAGGGCAGGTCCTTAATGTGGGCACAGGGCTCGGAGGGCAGGAATGTGCAACACAGCCAGGCATGGCGGCAGATGGCTACCACCCCCATCATGGCCTTACTGGCGCAGTCGACATGGTGTTGAGCTGCCACCAATTGGAACCTAACAAGGCCCTCTGCCTCAGTGTGTATTAGGCAAACTGCATCCCAGAGGTGGTCTGGGAACTGGTCTACCATGGCACCCATCTTTTCCCACAGGAAAAGCTGGTACCTGGCCATGGTGGCCTCACAGTCGGAGACCTTAAACCCAAGGGCAGCGGCCACATAGATCTTTTTTGCCATGGTATCTACACAGCATCCCTCTTTGTCCACCTTGTAGGCAGACTTAGCCCTGACTGAGATGGCCAGTGGCCCTGCAAGAGCTTTCCAGGACTGCTGCACTGCGTGGAGCAGCACAGGCAAGGCAGGGGTGAACACAGGGATGGTATCCCCTTAGGCCAGGGCATCATAGCATGAGTCAGTCTTGGGTTCGGGTGGGTGGGAGGCTTGAAAGCTAGCTTGAAAGCCAAGATCCTCGGCCATGCAGAGCACCAGGTCAGAGAAGCCACCCACCTTAGCAGGAGAGAAAGAGAGGTCCTGGTCTAGGGCCTGGCCATCTGGGGAGTAAATGGAGACTGCAGGAGAGGGAGAACATCCCAAAGCCAGGGATTGGCTCTGACCTAAGTCCTGTGAAGGCAGCTGCTCCTGCTTTGCTGATCCCGGTGAGAAACAGGTGTTTGCAGTGAGCTGCTGCAGGGCTGGGGGAGCGGCAGCGCTGGTGGGGGGAAGGGGCTGGTTTAGACTGCATTGTTTGCCAGTGAGTCCTTGCTGGGCCAGTGGCATCAGTGCGCATGGGGCCTGTCCCTGGGGCTGGTGGCACGTCTTGATTCCCTGCTGGAGGAGTCCTGGCAGCAGTGGGGGGCAACGGCATGGCGTTCCCAGAAGCATGCTCCCTGTTTCCTGCTGGGCTCTTCAGGTGCCACATGGTCCCGGTGTGTTCTTGCTGGCTCCTGTGGTCTCTCACATGCGCCCTGGGCTTGGGTGGGGAGGCAGGAGAGCAGTGGCGGGGTTCGTAAGGTGTCGATGGAGGATGAGGAGGTAGGGCTCTGGGCGCTGTGTCTACACTGGGGCCTTCATTTGGAGGCCAGGAGCCTCAGGCAGGCAGGGGGAACGCATGCCTCTGAGGACCCGGAGCCAAATTCGGCAAGGCAGGGCTTCCTCATGTGCAGAGTCGAGGGAGGCGAACTGGAATGCAAGGAGGCCGCAGAGGGCAATGACAACCCCCTGACTCTAGGGGGGCGTGCGATGTGCCTGCTGGATCCATGGGAAAGCGGTGTTGCCCATGGGACCTAGGAGCAATTGGCGGTCCCTCGAGGGGGTGGACACATGGGTGGCAGTCTCCGCGGCCAGAATGGCAGCCAGGCTGCATGCTGGCAGTGTCTTGGGCACTGGCGACACTGCCAAGGAGTGCACGTCCAGAGAATCCACGGACCATGGAGGTCGCATTTAGGGATGCTCAGGACGTCTGGGATCTGTGGGCAGTCCTGGGTGGCCTCCGGCGCCAGGGGGGCAGGGTCCCTTGTGGAAAGGCGCTTTGTCCTCACCAGAGCTGCAGTGCTGGAGAGGCCCTCGCCCAGTGAGGTTGCTCTTTTCCTAGCCCTGCAGGGCTTGGAACTGCCTTCGGCAGGGGGGTGTTGTTGGCCTTGGAGGGGTTGACAGTGGTAAGGGCCCCTCTGTCATAAGGCCTGCCGGAGACGCATGGCCCTCTGCCGGCGCATCTGTTTTTTAAAGGTCCGGCAGTGCAGGGAGGTCTCTATGACGTGCCCCTTGCCAAGGCAGAGAAGGCACTTGGAATGCCCACTGTTTGCAGGCATTCAGGTCGCATAGCAGGCACAGTGGCGTAAAGTGGAGTTGGCCATGTGGTTCAAAAGGGAATGCACGTGGCAGAGAGAAAAAAAGAAAAATAAGGGGAGGAAAATACCTGGAGGGCTTTTTGCTAGGATGGGAGGGAGAAAGAGGCGGCAGGCTTCTCTCTCCAGGGATTGGTAGGTGAAAGATGGGGGGGGGAGAATTAATTATATATATATATATATATATATATATATATAGAGAGAGAGAGAGAGAGAGAGAGAGAGAGAGAGAGATGGCGAAACAGATGGGTGATCAGAAAGTCCGCTCTGAGGTGGCTTGAAGAGCAGTCGGAAAGGAACTGAGGGACTGGGCAGGAGCCTCCCCGCTGTATGCTACCTGTGCAGGGGGCAGGGTGGGCTCCCGCCCACTCCATGGCACTGAGCTTTGGAAGTTTACTCTGATCAAGGCCTTGCACTCTGCAGCAAGCCCATAGGTGTGATTGCATAGAGACCACGAAGAAGAACACAGCAAGCCAATGACAGCCAGCACAGACAATACTGAAGATTATTATATAACTGTCTGACCTGATATGTTCTAGTTCCTTGTCATCTCCATTTTTTAACAAAAGACTCAGGAAAAGGTAAAAGGATTAGGAGAGACATCTGCCTAAGGTACTGGCAAACTGTCAGAGTAGACAGTACTGGATGTGATGACTTAAAAGGAAGTTTCATATGAAGACCATAACAGTATCCCACTGAATTAGAACTGCTGAACTTCAGGATAAGTCATGTGAGTTCTGTGATTTTTCACAGATTACAGTACAGAAGTTTCCGCTTTATACCAGTCTGGAATGAACTTCCTTTTCTTGCATGTGAAGGATACATTGGGAACAAACAGAAAGCCTTCTGCACATGAAATACTTATGTTTCCGAAGAAGTATTACAATATCATGGTAGTGTTCCAATTTATTTTGCTGCAACTCAGCTTTGTAATTTAACCATATTTGGATAAAATGTAAGTACAAAACAGAGTATCATAAATACCTATCTGTATAGTACTGGCCCACATCCTGCTTATTTTAGAGTTAACTAAGCTCACTGCTTTATGAGCTACCACTGGAATAAATAAAACTCTGAAAATTTTGCAAACATAAAAACTGCAAACTTCACCAACTGCTTAGTTTCCCTGATGAAAGATGCCATATTATATAGCATTTCAAATAGTCAAATTTTTAAAAAGACTATTCAAGATAATGTAGCATTCAAATAACATGATTAAAAGCAATTACAAGTAATATTAAATATTTATATCATCTATTTTTATTACCAAAAACAGCAAGATGATGCAGCAACTACATTTTTCTTTTCAAACATTTCATCTATTGGGCATAAAAGACAGTAAATCACGATCGTTGTGTCATCTAAGTGAGAAACAGGTTTCTTTTTAAAGCAGTAATTTGATAGTATGTTAAACTTTTGCATGAACTTTTATTAAGAACTAAGAACTTTTTTTAACATGTTACCAATGACTACTTGCTATCTATGAAAATCCTTCCATATTGTTTCAGTTTCTCTAACTTGTGAGGTACAGAATGCTGTAGGTGCAAGGCACTCAATGCTAAATTGGTCCTCTCAATCTGAAATCTATTGAGAAGAAAGCCAAACAATACTAAGAAGGAAGCCTTTACTTGCCCAGCTTGTATGCTCCAATCTTTATTTAAAAAAAGAATAGTAAGAAAGAGCCCATGAGTTCTCTCTCTGCTGAATACACGAGATAATGATTTCATTCAACAGATGTTAAACCATATACATACTGTATTTAATCACAGCAAAGATCCAAAAAGGAAAGTTAAGTAATGACAAACACACTGAACACATGGGAATGGCAACACAATTTATCACAGTTTCCTTCAATGTTTCTGACAGCAACTAAAACTGTTTCTGTTGTGTTAACAATTATTTCTGGATGTGCAAGTTTAACTCAAATGGTAGATTGCTCTTTCAGCTACAAAGCATTTCTTTACCACATCTGGTACTCAGGACTAGTTCCACTCATTCTTCTGCTTCCTTAACCAGGGGCTTTTCATCATAAAACCATCAACATTTGTTCTTACAATGCGTAATTAAAAGATACCCATATGTGACATAATAAAACACAATTAATTTTCCTCAACTTCTTCCCCATCCTCTTCTTCATCTTCTTCACCTTGGTCACCAGATTCAGTATCATCTTCATCTTCAACCTTTCAGAGAGAGGGGTGGGGGAATCAACATATTAACTGCTGAACTGAGCAGCAGATTCTTCAAGCTGGTAATTATTTGGGAGTACTTGCCAAACCATGGGTGTCAGGAGCCTTCTTAGAAGAGCCTTCTTCCCTCTTATGGGAGGATACACCTCTTTTGAGATGGTGCCTGCCTGTGTTCAGCACTGAGTAACAGTTTTTCATCAAAGCTATGGAATTTTCTTCATATGCAAATCTAATTAAACTTTAATACTGAATAATATCATTTATTTGAATGACAGTCCATGGATTCCTTCAACATATTCTACAGCTTTTGACAGTACTCAACAGGCATGAAAAAGAGCCTTACTGCAGCAGAACCCATGTTGTAAATGTAACAGTAAGCCCTTATATTGGATTCGGCAAATTATTGCCCAATTAGCTCGCAATGTGTAATTAGTAAATTATATGCATAAATTAAATTATAAATTATATTTATAGCAAGCTAGTTGATGGGTGGGAATCCCTCCCACAATGTCCTGGGAATAGGAAGGGGGAAGGGTTCCTGCTTGCTATGTGAACACTTAGCTTCAGAAGCTTTTCCTGATTCTGGGCTCTCTGTGGACATGAAAGCCCTTATGTATGATGCACAGAGACTATGAAGAACTGATGAAACTATCCTGGCAGATGAGCAAGCAGGATTTAAACTAGGTAGATACACAGTAGATTGCTGCTTTGTTATAGCTAATTTAAATAATATGCTAGGAGATCAGGTAGTACATTGTATGCAACAGTTGTATTTGATTCAGTTTCCCATGCTAGACTCTGGAACCAGTTAAATCTTCTAACTGCAGACAGAAGACTTCTTTTTTTATTATATGCTTACAGAACAACACCTGGATAAAGGTACAATGTTCCACAGATGGGCAACTAATTGGACCTGTGCTTGTCACAAAGGGAGTCAAACAAGGCTGCATTCTGCATTGTTTAATCTATATATAAATGCCATTGTTAAGAATCTTAACATCTGCAGCATTCCATGACCCTAAACTGGGTATAAAATCTATCTCCATCTTTTTAATGCAGATAATATTGTACTCTTATCCTAAACTAAAGCAGGCTTAAAAAAATTGCTGAAGGCATTCTCCAATTATTGTCATGAAGAACACCTGGCTGTTAATTACAATAAATCTAAAGTCATGGTGTTCTCTAGAAGTCACAGGGTCCAGAGATGCTCTATGGATAACCAACCATTTGAACAAGTTAAAGTCTTTAAATACCCTTGGAGTGCTTTTTCAATCAATAGGGTCTTAGTCAGGCCATCAGAATTATGTGGTGGAAAAGGCATCTCAAGAGTTTAAAATTCTGACATACTTTTTCTACACAAAGGAGGCAACTACATAGCATCAACACTTTTGTGCTAAACCTCTAGCACAGTTACATTATGAGGCCCAGATTTGTGTGGATCCATATATTAGAAATGTGGAAGTAGTTTAATCTAAGTTCCTGGGACAAATCTTTTTGGTTCCATATTGTGTTCCAAATGCCTTGCGGTTTCAGAAACTAACTTCCCTTACAAGTCTGGTGTAGGACACTTAATTTCTAGCTTCAGCTGTATTTAATCCCTACTGGCTTACTCTCTTTGATCTTGCAAGACTCCTGTGAGGGTGTTTGGATAAAGTGTGTCATCAAAAAAATTCACTTTTCTGATCTAATCATCACAGCATTTATTGAAGTTAAGAGTCAGCAAAGCAAAAGCCTTACTCAAATAACACCTATATGATATTGAACAACAGAACAATCTAGCTATTGCAAAAAATGCCCATGGTATGGTCATTTTTCACTTTGGTCTTCTAATTTAATGGCATTTATCTGGAAAATGTAACAGTTCTAAAATACAGGTGAGCTTTTACATAGGCAAGACTCAATATACTGCCCTTAGTATACTGAGGGTTAATTTAATAGATTCTCTTTGGGAAATGGCTTATGTCTATGTGGAGATGAAACAGTAGCTCATGTTCTATTATTTTGCAATTTTTACAAATAATTATGGACTGAGGTGACCTGATTCAATGAATAATCCAATAATTTTGGTACTACCATATAATATAAATCACAGAATGTTTTAAGGTAATTTTAGCTTCATACATTTTATTTGTTCTTATTTCTATATATTTATATTTTATATGCGAAGGCCTATGGCTGATGCAAATTAGGACTATTGTGCTGACTTGTTCTATCAATGAGTCCCTTAATGACAGTTTATTCTGTACAGGAGCCAACAGAAAGCCAGAGCAGCAGTTTAAGGAGGGGACTTGCTTGGTAGCAGAATGCTGGATAGGGATGAGATGGCCAAGCTAAGGTAACAGATGGGTAGAAAAAGGTAGTGGCTAGGCCAGAAACCAGGGGTTTCACAAAGGGGAAGAAAGGAATGGTCATATTTTTCCAATGTTTTACAAAGATATGAGTTAGCAACAGAGTATGCAGGAACGAAGCAAGGAATACAGGGAGGGAGCAAGAAAAAAGCAAAGGCTGTGTGCCTGTTCAACAGGATAGCTGGTTGTGTTGCCTAAAGATATGGAGGACGGGTTCCTACAATTAAACAGGATAACAGTGCATCAGTAACCATTCTGAAATTTAGAAGGAAAGATGAGGAGTTTAATCTTGGGCATATTCCATCAATCTACACTGAACCTGAACTGTCATAACATCTCTCCCTAATTAACTCTTACAGTACTTTCCGTGACTCTAGAATTACAAATAAAGTTAATTGAAGTTCAAATGGTTCAGCTTTGAGACTTAGGAAGTACATTTTGAACCTTTAAAATAGTATTGTTTCAATTTCAATAAATATTGGCAATATCTAAATTTGCCCAGGGAAAACTCAATGTAGAACTGTTTACACACAATGGTGGTAGAGGTTAGGTTTACAAATAGATATGATCCAATCAGTTTCAACTGTCTCTAAAAAGAATATGGACTAAATGCTGAACTGATTCCATCATTTTATATTAAAAATGTGGTAACACAGGAATGGTGCAGACAGATACTTGGAGCAACTGCTCAAACGGAATTAAGTCTTCCATTTACTTTCAATGAATGTACATCTTACCGGTTCTCCAAGCTCCTTCAGCTTATTCTTTAATGCAACTATCTTCTGATCTTGATCAGCCAGAAGAACCAGAAGGTCATCCTGCTCTTTTTTAGATTCTGCCACTTCCTGCTGCAATTTACTATTCTCATTTTGCAAAATAGCCACAGTACTATTGGATGAGTCCAGCTGCTGCTTCAGAGATACCTTTTCCTCACTGAGAGCTGTAATATCATTCTGGCAGGAAAAATAAGATAAAATATTACCAATGAACATGCATAAAATGCTGGGCATGCAGATGTGTGTGGCACACTCTTCACTGATGTATGTTTCAACAGCACTAGAATTCAACATTCTTTTAAGATAGGAAGTTATCTTTGATGTCTCATACAAAGAGTTTGTTTATAAGAGCAGGTTGCTTACCTGTAACTGATGTTCTTTGAGTGGCCATCTGTGCAGTCACACATATGGGTTCTGCGCCTATGCAGTGCCTTTGGCCGGAAAGATTAACAGCTAACGGTTTTTGGCGGGAACTCCGCTCCCCCTCCCCTCTAGCATTATATAAGGAGCAGAGTGTCCGCCATTTTCCAGTCTTTGAAAGACCGATGTTCACTCTCTTAATAAAGTTACTGTCATAATGGCAAAAAAGCCAAAAATTTCAGTGGTACGACAAATATCTAAAGAGATCCTAGCATTGAAGAGAAGGGAGTCGGACCACCCATGACACCAAGCGGGGTCGGCGGGTGGGTTGTGTGACTGCACAGATAGCCACTCGAAGAACATCAGTTACAGGTAAGCAACCTGCTCTTCTTTGTCGTGGCCTCTGTGCATCACACATATGGGTAGAATAACAAGCTTACCCAGACTTGGAGGAGGGAGGTGTCATCAGCGAAGAATAGAGAGAGGACAGCCCTGCCAAATGAGCAGTCTTGTCTGGCGCGGACTTCAAGTCTGTAGTGTCTGGCAAAGGTATATGGGGTAGCCCAAGTGGCAGCTCTGCAAACATCTTCCATTGGAACTCCCGATGCAAAAGCTGAAGAAGCAGCCACAGCCCTTGTAGAATGACCTCTTGGAGTAGATGGGAAGTCCAATTTAGCCAATTGGCAAGACAGCGCAATTCTGTGCACTATCCATTTGGAAAGTCGTTGTGAAGTGACTGGATAGCCCCGGTCGTGTTCTGAGTATTTAACAAAAAGTCTATTGGAGTGTTGAACAGATTCAGTTCTAGACCTATAAAAGGCTAAGCAATGACGAACATCCAGCATATGCAGAGATCTCTCTATCGGATTCGGAGGAGCTGGGAAGAACGCTGGCAAAACGATCTCCTGCTGCATGTGAAACAAGGTAGCAATTTTTGGAAGAAAAGACAGATCCAGCCATAGAACTACCTTTTCTTTATGAAATTCAAAAAAGGGGGGTCTACCCTAAGGGCGCAAAGTTCAGATGATCTATGGGCTGAAGTAATAGCTACTAGGAAAACAGTCTTCCATGAGACAAGGCGTAAATCGATTGTCGCCATGGGTTCGAAAGGTGGTCGGGTCAGTGCCTGCAAAACCACTGAAAGACTCCAAGTGGGCATTAAAGGCCTTATCATCGGATGGAGGTTACCCAATCCTCTCAAAAATCTTTTAATCAGAGGTTGAGAAAAAATAGAGAAACTTTGAACAGTTCCACGGTAGTGAGAAATCGCTGCTGTATATACTTTTATGGAAGAAGGTTTTAGTCCAGACTGATGCAATTCGAAGAGGAATGGAAGCATCTGCTGAATCGACGCCGATGACGCCAGAAATGAGTGAGATTCGGCAAAGCGGGAGAATCTACGCCATTTCGCTGCATACAACTTCCTAGTGGACGGTCTTAATGCAGATTCGAGAATATATAGCAGATCTGGATGTAAAGTCTGTGGAGTAAAGGTAGTGAGGATCACCGGTGGCGTCGACACCGGTGCAGTACATACAGTTATCAGATCCTCCAGGCAGTCAATTTCAGCGACAATAGGTCTGGGTGTCATATCGTGCCTCTCTCTTGAGTAACGAGACAAGGAAGGAGAGGGAGCTGAAGAAAATCTTCCCGAGAGATGTGAAGGAGAGTTGAGAACCATGGTTGGCACGGCCACCAGGGGGTTATCCGTAGCCCTGTGGCCCCTTCGTGAATAATCTTTGCCAACACTCTCATGATGAGGGGGATCAGCGGGAAAGCATAAAAAGTCAGGTTGGTCCAGGGGATCATGAAGGCGTCCCCGGACGACCCCTGTCCTATCCCCGCTCTGGAGCAATAGTTCATGCACACCTTGTCCTGTTGGGTGGCAAACAGGTCTATGTCCGGTGGACCCCAGAGGCGGAACAGTCTGTCGCAAACCCGATGGTCCAGTTCCCATTCGTGTGACCGCGACATATGTCTGCTCAAGAGGTCTGCCTCTACATTGTCCGTACCCACAAGATGTACTGCTGGAAGAGTGATACCTCTCGGTATGCACCAGTCCCAAATTTTGATGGACAGACGGGCTAGTTTCGGGAACCGGGTTCCCCCTTGCTTGTTCAAATAAAAGACTGTAGCCATGTTGTCCGAAGTTACCTGGACAACCTGATGAAGAAGCACGTCTTCGAACGATTGCAGGGCTTTGAAAACAGCAAGAAGTTCCAGAAAGTTGATGTGGTTCCTGGAATTCCTGGGACTCCACATCCCTCGGGTACGTTGTCCGGAGCAAATGGCTCCCCATCCAAGAAGAGACGCATTGGTACCGAGAGTCACTGTAAGGTACCGAGGCCAAAACGGAACACCGACATTCAAATTGGCTGGTTCTGTCCACCATGACAGGGACTGAAGAACGGAGGCTGGGAGCCGAATCTGTTTGGTAGGTGGATCTCTCTGTGGTCGGAACATTCCGTTGAAGAATAACTGAAGAGGACGTAGTCTGAGTCTGGCATGTGGAACCACAGCGATGGATGCAGCCATGTGTCCCAATAGACTTTGGATAGATCGGGTAGGGACAGTCCTTTCTTGTCGAATCCGAGAGATGCACTGAGTGATGACGTGCTGTCTGTCTTGAGGAAGAAAGGCTCTTGTCAAAGTAGAATCCAGCCGGGCTCCGATAAAGTTGATCGTCTGTGCAGAGATAAGAGAAGACTTCTGTTGATTAATACAGAGTCCAAGGTCTTGTAAAAGAGCACAAGTAATATCATCGGCAGACAATAGACCTGTCCTAGTGTCGGAAACCAACAACCAATCATCAAGGTATGGATATATCCGAATTCCACGTAGTCGAAGGTGTGCGCAAACAGGAGCCATACACTTCGTAAAAACTCTTGGTGCAGTGGCCAATCCAAACGGTAACACCTTGAATTTGTAGATCTCAGAGCCTACCGTGATACGAAGGAATCGCTTATGGTGTGGATGTATTGAAATATGAAAATAGGCATCCTTCAAGTCCAACGAGGCGAACCAATCCCCTCTCCCCAGCAACGGAAGTATATTTTGGAGCGTGGTCATCCAAAACTTCTTTGGTGTTATGGATTTATTGAGAGCTCTCAAGTCCAATATGGGTCGGAGAACCCCATCTCGTTTCGGGCCCGTAAAATATTTAGAATAGAATCCATGGAGTCCATCCGACAACGATAAGCGATGAACAGCTCCCTTAGTAAGGAGCTGGTGAATTTCATCCAGTAGTACCGAGGAGGCCGGTGTAAAACGGATAAAATTCGATGATGGAACAACGTCAAATTCAATTCTATAGCTGTGCTGGATAATGGATAACACCCATCCATCAGATGTAATGGACTCCCAAATGGGAAGTCGACTATTTAGTCGGTCCCCAAATGAGAGAGGGGAGGGTGAGGTTGGGAGAAGAGGAAAGGCTCGCACATCCCATCAGCGCTGTCATCGATCTGTGTCGAAACGACGGTGGCCCTGGTGGAAACGCTGGGATGGTTGCTGTCTGCGGCACTGTTGGCGTTGATGTGGTTGTTGTTGCCAAGGTTGGAATTGTTGGCGGTATTGCGGACGTGACCGTGACCACTTATGTCGGGGCTGGGACTGCACTTCCATACGCCGAGCTGTCATTCTGGATTCATGGATCTTTTTCAGTTTACTGTCCGTCCTCGCATTGAGGAGACCGGATCTGTCGAACGGCATCTCCTCAGTTCTCCACTTCATCTCTTCCGGAAAATTACAATTACGCAGCCAGGCATGTCTGTGGAGGGAAATGGCACCGACAAGCTACCTCAAATCAGAATCAATGTGGTGCCTAGCTGTGGAAAGCTGTTGCACCACCACCTGCATAGCTTCCTTAACAAAAGTTTTTGCCAACTCGCCCTGGTTGCCTGGGAAGGTGTCAATGATGGTATCTAGGCGCTGCATAAGGAAGTATTGATAGCGCACCAGGGTCGCCTCATAATTTGAAATTCGTAATTCGAGACCCAAAGCAGTGTACACCCGGCGGGCGAGGGAGTCAACTTTTCTTCCTTCCTTATCACAAGGCGAAGTGTGTCCACGTGCTTCTCGGCCCTGAGAGGATTCCACAACAACCGAATTTGGCTTGGGGTGACGGAGGAGGAAAGGGATGTCCTCCTCACGAACCCGATACGTGGATTCGTATTTACGTGAAGTCGGTTGTGGGTGGGCCAGGAGGTTCCATGGTTGAGTCATTGCCTGTCTCAGAGTCGTTATGAGTGGTAAGGTGATGGAGGTAGATCTTTTGCCCCTGACTACATCATAAAAACGGTCAGTGCTCGGCCCCGGTTGTTGGTGGGCTTCGATGTCGAGCGACCTCACCAGTCTGCCCATTAGCTCGTTGAAAGAGATATACGGTTCTTCAGGTGACCCCGGGCCTTGAGAAGTAACCGCTGCATCTGGCGAGGTCGAGTCAACCTCCGACTCATCAGATTCCATCCAGTAAGGGGATGGAGCACTGGAAGAGGAATCTCCTGGCGACTCTGATCTGCCGCTTTCTCTAGATGGAAACCTCGGGACGTCCCTTGGTGTAGAATGGAAACAATCCCGAGGAGGTGGCGGTGAAGATTGTCCTCTGGAAACCGGGTAATAGGCCACAGATTGGTACTCTTCCCGTCTCGGAGCGGAGGAGTATCGGGACTGGTACCAGTCATCAGATCTAGCATCTGAAGAGTGGCTCCTGCGGCTTCTCGGAGGAGAGATGGCGATGTCGGTATCCAGAGGGACGGGCGGCATTGGTGTAGGCGACCGAGGTCTCGGCGGGGAATCTCTTATTTCCCCATCCGAGATGGAACCATGCTGTGGATCCTGAAGAGGTTCGGCTACCAGTCAGCGCGGAGAGCCTGGTGGAGTAACCCTCATAGCCGCCTGGATGGTCGGGACCGAGGGGGTCGGTTCCGTGGCCGGAGTCGGGATCGAGGAGGCCACTGAACCCGAGTGGTGATGTTTTGCATGCTCGGGATTCCTCGATTTCTTAACCGGCTTGCCCGCCTTATCTTTCTTGGCCTTCTTATGCACAGGATGTTTGTCCGGATCACTGTGCTTTCGTTTCTCCTTTTGTTTCCTTGGAAGGGAAACGGGCTGATCGGTCATGCTGGAAGCACCTTCTTCCGAAGGGCGTGAGGGCGGAGCAATGGAGGAAGAGACTGGGCATTGCGGCAGATCGGCCTGAGTTGGGCGGCCTTCGGGGGGCTGTAGGGGGGCTTAGCCACCAGCTGGTCCAATTGGAGGAGAACCTGGTCCCACAAGAGCTTGTGGAGGTGGTTCTCCCGATTCTTCCTCGCCTGTTTGGAAAAGGCCAAACAATGGCTGCATTTATCTGTCCTGTGCCCTTCCCCCAGGCAAAGGAGGCACAGGTCATGCGGGTCCGTGGTGGGCATTTTGGAGCCGCACTTTCCGCACTTGCGGAACGCCGCTTGTTGCGCCATCGTAGAAAAATGAAGAAAGAAGATAGTAAAGCGGGAGAATAATATTTTTGGTTTTTTTTTATAGGAACAAGAGAGAGTAAGTGAAAAAGCAAGAACTGAGTGAAATACTAAGAGTAACAGGAACAAGGGAATACTAACTTGGTAAGAAAAGACAAATTTTTCAACAAGCGAGAAGGTAAGTAATGATCTAGGCGAGAGCGAAGCGGCACAAGGCACAACAAATGGCGGTCGCAAAGACTGGAAAATGGCGGACACTCTGCTCCTTATATAATGCTAGGGGAGAGGGGGAGCGGAGTTCCCGCCAAAAACTGTTAGCTGTTAATCTTTCCGGCCAAAGGCACTGTGCAGGCACAGAACCCATATGTGTGATGCACAGAGGCCATGAAGAAGAAAAACGATTACTGAAATTCATACCTGAAATTCAAACCCTGACCTACTTCTCTTAGTGTCCATTTTATTTAAACAATACAGGAACAAATCAAATATTGAAGCTAATTTAAGTAAGAAGCATCAAGATACTCTTCCCTCTAATCCTGAGCAGTGACACATGCTGTGCTACAGCTGTTTCCTCTTTGTAATAACAACCCTTTAATGCCCTATTCAAAGGATGTTTCTCTGATGTTCAAATTCAAGTACTTGGAATTAAATTAATAGATTAAATAATCTATTTAAATAGATCATAAATAGATCATAGATTAAAATAAGAACTTGCTCTTGGGTTACCTGGGATGGTTTAATCCATGAACAACTCCAAGTGGTGTTCTTCTGACAACAGGGAAACAATCTATAAATGCAGCATTCAAGGGTTGTTAATGAAAACAGTTGCTTAGACATCGCCCATACAGGGCAAACAAGTGGAAGGATGGTGATCTCCAGCATACATCAATAATGGAACATCTGCTGGGTTCCCTCTTTTGACATGCCAGGATAAGAGTGTCAGACTAAGAGATCTATGAGGCTACAATGCTGAACAGCAGCTTTCCTGCCAGGCTTTTGTGCAATTAGTCTCTACATGCAAGGCCTACCTACTGAAAAATTCCTTGTCAAGAAGTGATTATAAGTTGTAAGAGGAAATATGTAAAATGATTTGTAGCCACTAGCCACCCAAATGAACAACTGATTAAAAACTAACATAAGAAACTTTTCTGGAATTCTCATTTGAAGATTGTGTTAAGCCATTAGCCTTTGTATTCTTCCAGAAGCAAAAGAATATATATACACATGGGCACCCTAACTCTAAAATGGAAAGTCAAACAAGAATGAATCCATCAGTGAAGTAAAATAAAACTTAACTGAACCTTAAAACGATAGATGCAGTATGGTTTATTAGGAAGCAACTTTTAATTTTTTGTTGCTCTGTGAAACAAAGAACACTGAACATGAATAACAGCGGGCAAGGCATATTTTCAGACTAATATTTTTAATGAGATGGAATGATTCCATGAAGGAAGCCACCACCTTGAGCTTGCCAGAGCCAAGCAGGGCTGCCAAAGACAGGACATTCTGGAAGGATCATTGTAAGTCAGACAATTTGATGGTATGTAACAACCACATCAGTGATTTTTTGTATGACAAAGTATAGCTAATGCAACAGAGGATGGACTGTGCAGATATAGCTTAACACAAATACACTGACATATGAATAGGCCTTGGCTACCTATGGATGATACCAGATTGCTGAAACAGATAAGAGGATTATTACTCTTCCTTATAGCCTAACAAAATGATTCACAGACAAAAAGATACAACAAAAACCAATATTACTAGTTTCTGAAGCAGCTCTTGTTTTTCAGCCTGTAGTTTAATAATGTCTGTGGATTGCGACTTGTTTTGGGTCCTCAAGGTTTCAACTTCCTGTGTGGGGAAGAAAATAAATTCAGCTGCCAAGCCATTTGTATTGTTTGCAAATATAGCCATACCATAAAGAGAGATTGTTTGGGCATTTGGAGTTGCCATCAATATGCAAATAGTATGCAGCTCAAATTATAATTTTCATCAGCTATTACCAAGACTGCTGATGTTGTGAACCAGAGCCCCGAAACATAAGGGTCCAGATGGGGTTTAATATGCGGGGGGGGGAGCTGTGCATATACATGTGTGTAAAGTGAATTGTACTACTCAAGGCCTGTCATGACACAATAGGAACTCTTAAGGAACCTTGTCATCATGGTGTACAACAGACAGGACCTGAACATTTGGCAGGGGGGTGTATGGGACAAGACTTATGTGGCCCTACCTTATGAACAATAATATATTCAGAATACCTCATCCACTGATCAAAAATGTAGTTTGCTCCAGTTTCAAGCAGGAAGCCTCCTGACCAATTATCATAGACAAGCAACAGAAATGTCTTACCTTACATAGTTCACTATCAGCCTCAAGACCACTTGGTTTATTTGTTTGTGAAGACTGCTCTGTTGTTCCTCCTGCTAGTGGCAAAAGCTTCTGCAGGTATCAAATAACAACAAAAATTTTTCTTTTAAAAAGCACAAGCTTTTTTTAAGGGTCTTAGAATTCCTGAAACAACTCAGATTTCATTTAAAAAATCGGAAAAAATAGCTTTAGGTATGTCCTAGTACAAGAGCTTTAACTGTAGGTTAAATTATGAAATTACTTCCTGGTGTTAAGAAGTATGTTTCCTGTACTTGCATACTTCACTGCTGTGAATACTGGAAGCAAAACATAATTTATCCAGGTGACAGAATCCAGATATTTCACTAATGGTTGTTTTACTCTTTAGGCTAATTGTATTGTTGTAAACCCCAACAGCTCTTCAGAAATATTTTAACCCATTCTTAAACCAAGCCTGAACCATTTCACTATTGATGAATTGGCATATGAGCAGGCCTTTGTTTTGCCCTAAGTACCCTTTTTGCTTTGGCTGGAGAGAAGCAGCAGAAGAGGAGGAACTGGAGAAAAAAGTTCTTTCGTCACATTCCTACATCCACTTTGTTGATTAGAAAGGTGACCAAATTCCATTCAAATGGCCTGTTCTGCTGTTTAAGCAAGGCCTGATCTGGGGGTGGGGTGCTGGTTAGCCGGATTCCTTGTGTAGCAGGACACCGGGAGGTAGCTATGGTTCCTTTGTCATCAATTGCAAGTGGCTGCTCTTGCAAAATGGGTAAATGAAACCAAATCTGATCATGGGCAGGAAAAACTGATCCTGTTGCAGCCCCAAAGAATGCTCACATGCCCTCAAAAACTCATCTAGAGTGATATCTCTCAGAAGCTTCTGGGAAGGCACATATCCCATGTCATCCATTTGCTGAGCTAAAGGATGATCAGCAGTGCATGGGCCTTGGCTATGCTTGAACACTGCAGGCTCTGAGGCCAATTCTTCCCAATCAGATGCAGCAGGAACCCTTGGCTCACTGTTCTCAGTTTTCACAAACATGCTGTGTCATTATAGTTTGTTCTGTGTTTCTCCAGAAGGCTTGGAGCAATTCTTGCTATACCATGCCACATGAGCTGGCTGGGAGGAACTTCAGAATGCAATAACAGTAATCTTTATTCTTTTTGCTAAACTGGTGTCACTTTAAAACAATTATCATCTTGAAATACAGAACAGTTTTTAAAGAGGTCCCTGGACCTCAATAGCAGACTGATTCTTTTAAAAAGTACATTTAATTAAACAGTGGTTAGAGGATGTTCACATCCTGCTACAGGCGTGAAAAGTTATAGTAGAGGAAGGATTCAAATGTTTTAGATACTGATCCACTGTTTGGGGAATCTGTATACAAGCAATCAGAATTGCAGACTGTAAATATTATAATGGCTGCATTGCTTCCTTTACTGTAACATTATTCACAGAAATACTACAACTAATTCATCCATGAGTGATAACATCTCACAATTCAGGCAATGATATTCTAGGCATACTGAATCAGCAATTCATTTCAGTCTCATCAGTACACAAACCACCATTTTTAGTTATGGATTTTGTTTTCAGAAGTGGACTGAAAATATTGTAGCAAACAAATTTAAGTAGCTCTTTTTAATAAAAAACATTTTAAGCATGATCATAGGATCCAACAGTTAAGAACAGACTGTGATCTCTTGGTGATCCCTTGGTGGTGGTGGTGACAGTTCTATATCATCCATTTCCAAACTTTCTGGTCAGTTCATAGCATTTAAATTACCCAAACCAGGGTCAACTCAATCCTGCTTAGCTTCCAAGATTAATCAGGATAAGAAACTTCAGGCTATACAGAAACTGTATAGATGTCCCCCAACTTTGCCTATTTGGTGGGTGCTAACTGCTCTGAGGTCCTTCTTAGTTGTGGTGTCCAATTTGAGGAACTCCTGGTCTAGACATGCGTACAGCACTTATTTTACTTTATTTTACATTTCAGGTAAAATTTGACCAATTCTCTGCTGCCTGGCTTTTTGAAATGCCTGACACACTTAGAACTGCCTTTTTCAGTACTCATGCTTTTCTTTGTATTACCAGAAACTGACATGGTTTTACCTGCTGCTTTTATTTCATAAAATACTATTTTATGTAGTATTTATAAAATACTAAAATAAAATAAATACTAAAATAAATACTAAAATAAATACTAAAATAAAATAAAATACATAAATATAAAATAAAATACATAAAATTTTATGTAGTATTTATAAAATACTATTTTATGCAGCACACTATTGCTGCAGGGGATTAAGACAGAATGGGAATCTTATAAGCAAACAAATTCATTCATCTTGTGAGCCAAGGTCTTTCCCACTAGGCACCCTTTGTTAAGATGAAAGGACCATCCCCTTTTCCCTGATACCAAGAACATTTAGCCCAGCTTTGGATTAGGTAGAGAGAAGAAATCCTTTCCTGATGACTGTTCTATTCTACCCAAGAATGGACTGAAAGTTTCCAATCAGACTTGAACAGTAACAATTTGTGCTACTCACCAATGTTTCAATCAACGTATCCTTTTCCCTCAGCTGTTCCTGTAATAGTTCAAGCTTGTGTTTCCATTCTTCTATCTCTTCATGCAATTTACTGATTTCTTCTGGCTGAACACCATTCATTTGACCCACATCACTGTGGGAACTAAGATGCTGATTGTCTTTTCCTATTAATCAGATTTGGAAATGGCTTATTTGTAGTGGTCTGAACATAATTTTCAAAAACAATTCTTACCTCAAACTCATTTTAAAGCTTGTGTAGAAAGAATTGTACTGGCTGCTCCTCCAAGGTCATATAAACAAGCTTGGAGAAGGGGTTTGTGCTGGGGAGGGCAGCAGACCCCCACCATCAAGCTATAATATACCCTGCCCAGCTCATTAGCTTCCCCACCAAAATTGCTCATCTAGTCGCTTTCCAGAGTATGAGGAATGTGAAGGCAATTTTCATCTCTGTGTTTTTCCCACTGGGTATAGGATGCCGGTAGTCTGCCAAATTGGGAGGTTTACCAGCAGTCCCACTGTACTCGTAGACTGGAGGAGGTATTAGCTGAAGATAGACTGGTCAACTATTGATGCCTGTTGACTACTGAGATTCTTATTAATAATGATGGATTAGCTGGATCTTTTTCTGAATTTTTAAGGCACCTTTCTTCTTAAGGAAGAGTGCATACCAAGGATCAATTAATACACATTTGTTTTTATTTAGTTATATAATTTCTATTCTACATATTCACTAAAGAATATTCCCAGACCTTGAATATGCATTCTTATTTTGTAAAATTTAACACATACTTTGGTGGACTGAGAAATCTATTTTTTTAAAAAAAAAAACCCAATTCAGAAGACCTTCCAAGACTTACAATGCTAGCTGATGATTTACAGGTTCCTGGAATAATACTTAAAAATCAACAGGTTTTTCCTCAGAGATATATACATTTTTGGTGAAAGGAACTGAAAGGAACCTCTCATCACTTTGTAAGCACATGTTTCTTTCAGTCAGAGGTCAAAAGCATAGAAGCAAATCTAGTTTAGACTTTGAAATTCATATTTTACCATGTCAAGAGCCTTTCCTATTTATATCTGGTTAGATGATTAGGAACAACTGGAAAGGCAGCAGGAGACACATTGTTCAAATACAAAGAGATGGTAAGGATAGGCATGTACAAATTTCTTCTTAGCTTCTGAGAAAAATATGGAAGGATGGCATTATAGCCAAGAAATGCAACTGATGTTAGTTAGCTATTATTTCAAGTAAATACAGGCTTTTCTGAGAACATCTCTCATCCTCTCCAAAAGAAGAGTAACACTTCTGTCCCATGCTTGAGAGAGGAAAAGGCACAGCCAGCAATGAATTTTTGCTGGGCTGCTTTTAACCGATCTGCAGACTCAGACCAGATCTGACAAAACTGATGATCTGTTGTGAATTTGAGTGTAATAATTGCAGAAAAGGGATATATAAATGAACATGACCTGAGCACACACTCACAGCCCCAGTTGTTGGAGAGGGACAATACTCCTGGCCCAGATGATGTCTGGAGTCTATTTAAAGGCCTGCCCTCTAGGGCAGTGTCCTTGGACGGCTGCAAAAGGGAGTTTCTTGTTCAATGCAGAGTGGTGTGGGTGGGGGCCTCTTGTCTGAAGGTCCTGGGTCAGATTTTAATTGGGCCGGAGTCCAATGGTCAGCATTAGATAGAATCTAATCATACTCGCATTTTATTATACCGATTGTGTCGGGGAGCAAAAGGGTGTCCCTATAAAGGTGATCACGGGTAGGAGGAAGTATGGTGCTTAGAGGGTGACATACCAGCAAAGGAGAAGGGGGAACAAATGTTTGGTGGCTATTCTCTCTTCTGGTCAGCCTCCAGACCTGCCAAACCCTGGCAGCCTTATCAACCTGCCCCCAGGCATGCTGGTACTACTGTTGAATGAACCTCTCTCACCCATGATTATGGATGAGGGGGCCAACCTGGCTTGTATCACAGAGACCTAGAGGGAGGGAGAGGGAGGAGTAGCCCTCTCTCAGTTGTTCTCCCCTGGGTATTTTGTTCAGCACTCACATTGCCTGGGCGGGCAGTCTGACCATCATCTATAGAATTTCTCTTCCTCTTTCAAGACTCCCTGGTCACTTGAGAGCAGGTCTTGAGTTTTTATATCTTGCACTGGGATTATGAGACAGATTAGGATTTTTGTTGTGTACCGCCCACCCAGCTATACAGCTAACTCCCTGTCTGAGCTTATGGAAATGATCTTGGATCTAGTATTGAGGACCTGTTGGTTCTAGGAGACTTCAACATCTACACTGAGGACGTTTTGTCCAAGACAGCTCTGGATTTCATGGCTGCTATGACAACCATGGGGTTGTCTCAACATGTCACTGGTCCATTGCATATAAAAGTTCACACTCTAGCCCTGATTTTCTTGACTGGATATGGGGTGATCTGGAAGTGGAGGAATTAACATCAATCCCTTTGTCATGGTCAAATCACTTCCTTTTGAGGTTTAGCCTTTCAGCCCCCTGCAAGGGTGGGGGACCTATTAGAATGGTCTGCCCCTGCAGGCTGATGGATCCAAATAGTTTCCAGAGGGCTCTGGTGTGTTTCCGGTTGATATGGCTGGTGCTTCTGTGGAAGCCCAGGTCACTCTGCGGAATATGGAAATGGCCCATGCAGTTGACACTATTACACCCAAGCATCCTCTTTCCTTATGTGGAGTCCATATAGCCCTGTGGTATACACTAGAGCTGAGGTTGATGAAACAGGTGGGAAAATGGCTGGAGCACAGATGCAGAAAGACTTGTGATGAATCCAACAGAGCATGGCTTAGAGCTCATTATTGAGCCTATGTCGTGGTGGAGAGGGGGCAAAGAAAGCTTATTTTTCTGTCTCCATTGCATCTTCTCAGTGCTGTCCAGCGGAGCTGTTTTGAGTGGTTCGGGGCTCTTACAAACCAACCCTGTGAAAGAGGTTGATGACGCATTGTGAATCTGCACAGCACTTTGAGGGTAAAGTCGCTCAGATGCATCAGGAGTTGACTCCATAGTTGATGCAATTCCTCTGGCTGAAGCATTCAGCACACCATCTGGTCCAAGTTTATTGGATGAGTGGTGGTAACACAAAGAACACTGCCTTTTATGCAGTGGCACCCTGACTCTGGAACAAGTTCCCCAGGGAGGTCCACCTGATGCCTTCTTTACAGTCTTTTAGGTGCTAGGTGAAAATCTTTTTATTTTGACAGTATTTTAATTATTAACTTGTTTTATTTATTCATTTATTTAATTTAGAAAATTTCTATGCTGCCCCATTCGCCAAAGCCTCTGGGCAGCTCACAAGACATCAATTAAAATATAATACATTAAAAATATAAAACGAATTAACAATATAAAATAGCATTTTAACTGTCAATGTCATTACTGGGATGCATCTATATTGGTTTCAATGTTTTTTTATTTGTAATTGTTGTTTTATACTGTATTTTAATCTGTATTTTATTCTATTTTGTATTTTTTAAATATTTTGTTGCTGTAACCCACCCAGGGAACCATATGGCTACTGGGGCAGGGGTTAGAAATTTGATAAATAATAAAGTAAGGCATATCATCAAGCTGAAATTCAGAGATACACTTAAAAGTCATTCTGTTTCATTGTTCTCCACAATGCCTATCCATCCACTCCTTCTCCTCTGTCCTTTTTCAGACTCCTAAAACTCTAGGGTGACACTTCTACATCTTTACAACTTCAGCCTTGACAATCCAAATGTTTATTTTCTATCTCCTCTAAGTAACTGCTTTACTCCCACCATTCCATCTTGCTTTCCTGCTTGACCCTCTAAACATGACCTTGAATCTCCAATGATCAAAGGATTTTCTCCATCCAACCACAATACCCCTAATAAAACCACTTAGAGTTATTCCATGGGCACTGAGCAGAGCAGGGGTTTGGGCCCAATGACCTTCTCAGCCCCTTCCAATTCTACCATTCTATGGTTTTATAAACCAACACATATATAAATAACGTGCCATCTGTCTCTTCAAACAAGCTGCAAAATGTAATCTGAAACTCCATAGCATGCAAATTTGCAGCACCTGAATGCAACAGCAATTATGGAAGAAACTGTTAGCAGTACTACCTAGCTGTACTTTAAGGAGATTATATTGGTCCTTATGCTGCTGGATTTGTGCCACTTGTTGGGTGACCGCTGTCTGCAACTGTTCATTCTGTGCTTTTAAAGTTTCTACTTGTTTCCTCAATTCTTCAAGTTCTTGATCCTTTAAAATAAAATAGAATGTCGTTAATGCAAGCCTATATTAGTTCCTTTACATGGAATTACATATTACATTCTATTAATATATTTATTTTGCTTAGGAAAGAAACAACAAGATGTTAAAGAACTATGGACATTTTACCCATAAATATGCTTAGATGATTTCCTCCTCAAATACGTATCATCTCTCCAAAGTTGCAACTGTCAGCACATAGCTACTGTTAGGGATGAAAAGCAGCTTGGGTGGGGAGTGGTTATAGGCAGAGGGGGAAAAAGTGTGCATGAGAAGAACTAAACACTCTCCCTTGTACCATGGTCCAATCCATACAGTCCTTCCCCAGGGCTAGTTTTCTTTACAGGAAGTGGCAGGTTCTTATCCACATGGCTAAATAGTGTGCTTAATGTAACATGGCTTCTGGTTCTCTCTGTCTTCCTAAATATATAGTGGGCTCACTAGAATAAATGCAATGAATTTACCAAGATTTAACTTACCTGTACTCTAATAACATTTTTATAGTGTGTCACTATGTTGTCATGTTGTTCTAATGTTTTTTTCACTTCTTCTTCCTTTTTATCTTCTTCTGTAGACTTATAAACTGCCTTTGTTAGAACACCTATGAAAGAATTCTTAATTTTGTTAGACAGTGTAAGGCAATTTTTGTAGCATTTTGAACACCTGTAATGATTATGGAGTTTAAGGGTCAATAATATTATGGCTTCTATCTTGACAAGAAACAAGAAAACATGGTCATTAGTATGGAAAAACAATATCCGCTCCCTATATAGGCAATTATTTAGCAATCTAAAGTAAGAAAATACCTAGAATCCCTAGTTTCTAGCAACAATAACACTGAAATAATTCTGAGTTTCTGTATTACTGTGCTGATGAAAATATAAAATCACTGTTCACTAATTCCATCCAATATTTCAGGAAAGCACACTAAAATAGATTTCAAGTTTTTTGGTTATGTTACTATTGTTTTTGTTTGTATTTTATTTTCTGGGTTGCCTCTTAATATCTTTCCTTAGCTTTGTATCATTGGAGTGTTCTCACTTTTGTTTAAGAATCTTCCTTTGTTTTTAACATTCTAGCACCTCCTTAAGACATGTTCATTTTGTTTTATCCAAGGATCCCTTGTTCCCTTTTCCTTCCCTCCAAATACTTGTTTATTAAATTTGTTTAAAAGCCTCCCATTAGCATCATTCTCTCTGGGTGGCCATTACAATATAAAATCAACAAATAGCATTAATAAAATACAATAAAATATAAGAAACAAACAGAATAAAACCACAATAAAATAGTTAATTAAATAAAACATAAATTAATTAGGAACTAGTGTATTGATATAAATAGTCTAGAAGGTGCTAAAGGTGCAGGAACAGGCAGCCAGTGCAGCTAATGGAGGACAGGTGTGATATGTTCATGAGAAATGGATACAAGCAATTTTGTCCTTGAAATGCCAAGCAAACTTGTTGCAGTGGGCTGTCAAGCACTCAACAGGATCTTTTGGGGGGTTCACAGGTAAAAGGACCCAAACCCACCTGGAAAAGCGCTGCTAGTTGGCATTCCAAGGATGTGATCAGGCAGTATAAAAGCTTTCTTAGCTGCCTTGATCACCATGGAATAGGCTCAATAATGAGCTCTAAGCCATGTTCGATTGGATTCATCCTGTTTCCCACCACCTGCACTTTTGTCATCTCCCAGTTTGCTTCATCACCCTCTAGTCCTGCTGCATAACAGGGTGCTGGACAGGCTCTGCAAGGGGAGAGAGGATGCTTAGGAGTGATCATGTCAACCATCTGAGTCATCTCCATGTTCCACCGGGCAACTTGTGCTTCAACAGGAGCACCAGCCATGTCAGCCAGATAATCCTCCAGAGCTCTCAGGAATATATCCGGATCCATCAAACTCTGGGAACAGACCAACGTAACAGGTCCCCCACCCCTGCAGAAGGGAAAGGGGGCTGAAAATTCAAACCTCAAAAGGAAGTGATCAGACCATGACAAGGTGGTTAAAGAAGAACCCCTGACCATCAGATCACCATCTTCCTGCCCAATTGAGAAAACCAGATCAAAAGTGTGTGAAAAGAAAAAAAAAAGTCTTTTTCTCTACCTATGTACTGTAAACCTGTATGCCTGTTCTATTTTTATTTTTTGTACAATGCCTAGTAATTTTAGAAGCTTTGTAAATCAGAACCATCCATTTCAGCAGATGTATTTATTTACAGCATTTTTTCTACTTTCCAGGGGAATTGTCTGCTGAAGCAGCTCATTTGAATAGGCAAAAGAAATAAGCCCTGCCATTAGTCTTACAAACTAAAATGTTAAGACAAATTAGGGAAGGGGAGACAAAGACTGATAAGTTTCCCAAGGACTGAATGAAATGGTGAACTACAGGGACAGGCTGATCTTACTTTGCTGGAGTTCTTGCTTGAATTAGTCTTTTGATCCTTTGGTCAGTGGATGAGTTCTTAGCCCTTCCTTCTGTAGCCCCAGGGCAGTGGGACCAGAGTGTTTTTTTCTGGCAGGGAAGCAGACCAGTCAGTGCTCCCTGCTGCTGCTTGTCTGGGTGATGAACGGACTAAATTGGTCACCTCCTGTTACTTAATGTTACTCCTGTAAATTAGGGTGTGCAGGAGTAACATCACACCCTTTTACATAACAACACATTTTACAATTAAGTATATATCATGATAAAAAGGGAATGGCAGAATACGTGCTTAGATGCAGAAAGGAATGAAATATGCCCTGAATTCCAAACAATTGAAACAGCTTTGCCTCCTACCTGAAGTAGGTTTACTGAGTTAGGCAGGTTGCTTACCTATAACTGTCATTCTTCAAGTGGCCATCTGTGCATCACACATATGAGTGCTGTGCCTGTGCAGTGCCTGTAGCCAGGAAGATTCAAAAGCTTAACAGTTTTGGCAGGAACTCCGCCCCACCCCCACAGTATAAAAAGGTGGAGTGCCCTCCATTTCCCCCGTCTACTGAAGACCGACCATTCACTCCCAAGTAGAGGCTGCAAGCACTACACATTCATATCATAATTAAATGTGCTCTCAATGAGGCACATGAGGTAAATATGGAAACATGCAATTGCATAGCCAAGCTGATCAATAAACCCGGTCACCGACACCGAGTGGGGCTGGCGGGTGGCTTTTGTAAATGCACAGATGGCCACTCAAAGAATGACAGTTACATGGAAGCAACCTGCCTTTCTTCATCGTGGCCTCTGTGCATCACACATATGGTGATTAGTAACCTTACTAACATCTGGAGGGGTGATGGTGTCATCATTGAAGAGGACTGCGCAGCCGAAGGGGCAGTCTAGGCGATAATGCTTGGCAAACATGCAAGGGGTAGTCCAGGTGGCCGCTTTGCAAATGTCATGTAGTGGAATGCCAGCAGAGAAGGCAGGAGAGGCCGCAAAAGCTCTTGTGGAATGGCCTCTGGGCATTATAGGCAACTCTAACTTGGAGAGCAGATAAGAAAGCTCAATGGTTTGGACGATCCATTTAGAGAGCCTTTCAGACCCGATCGGGGAGCTCTTGTCATGCTCAGAATATTTGATGAAGAGACATTTCATGTTCCTAAAGGACTCAGTCTGGGATTGATAAAAAGCTAGGCAATGACGAACATCAAGCAAATGTAATGAGCGTTCCACTGAAGTCGAAGGCATAGAAAAGAAAGACAGTAAGACAATGTCCTGATTGACATGGAATGACGAAACAACCTTTGGCAGGAAAGCCGGGTCAGTGCAGAGAACAACTTTCTCCTTGTGGAAGTTGAGGTAAGGGGGGTCGATACGAAGAGCACAAAGTTCACTAGTCCTCCTGGCTGATGTGATGGCTACGAGGAAAGCTGTCTTTCAAGACAGTAGACGCAAGTTGGTAGTAGCTAAAGGCTTGAAAGGAGGCTTAGTGAGCGCTTCCAGAATGATGGAAAGGCTCCATGTCAGTATGACCGATCGAACCGGTGGCTGGAGATTCTGTAATCCTCTCAAGAAGCGTTGGACAAGGACATGGGAAAACACCGAACAACCTGAAACTGGGCCACAGCAATGCGAAATAGCTGCAATGTAGGACTTAATGAAGGAAGGTTTCAGTCCAGTCTGATGTAGAAACAGAAGAAATTGGAGAATGTTCTCAATGGAAGCCGACTGAGAGGCGAAGTGGTTGGTATCAGCAAATGAAATAAGTAAACAATGGAGCAGACAATCCCGAGTCTCAGAGATGTGGCAGGTCGGCCTTCTTCAGTTTACAGGCCGGCTTGTCCACCCTGTCTTTCTTGGCCTTCTTATGGACTGAGAACTTATCTGAGCCACTATGTTTCCTCTTGTCCTTTTGTTTGCGAGGAGGGCGAAAGGAGCATTGGGCCTCCGACAAAGTCGCTCCATCAGCCAATGGGTGAGAGGGAGGCGCAGCCGAGGAAGAGGGCTGTGAAACGGGCTGGGCCACGAGTTGGTCAGAGGTGGCCAGAGCTTCGTTCCATAGCAACTTATGCAGGCAGTTTTCACGGTTTTTGCAAGTCTGCTTAGTAAAGGCCTGACAATGGCCGCACTTATCAATTCTGTGGCCTTCTCCCAGACAGAGAAGGCACAGATCATGTGGATCAGTGGGAAACATCTCGGCCCCGCACTGGGAACACTTGTGGAAAGCCGCACGCTGAGCCATCGAGAGATATAGAGGATAGCAAAGTACAGTGAAAAAGAGTAACGATAGATAGGTTTTTTTCTGTGTGTGTGTGTATACTTGAGGAAAAGGGGAAAAAGGGAATTTAGAAGAACTTAGAAAACAGGGGAGGGAAGGAAATGTAACTTGGAAAGGAGATCTTAACAAGGGATCTAATGAGAGAGAAAAGAGATCAATAGAAAGGCTTTAGAACAACAGCAAGTATATCTACGGCAAGAGACGAAAGGCTCGAGGCACAGCGAACGGCGGTCACAAGAAGACTGGGGAAATGGTGGGCACTCCACCTTTTTATACAGTGGGGGGGGGGGGCGTGGAGTTCCTGCCAAAATCGTTAAGCTTTTGAATCTTCCCGCATACAGGCACAGTGCAGTCACAGCACCCATATGTGTGATGCACAGAGGCCATGATGAAGAACTAAGTTATTCAACTAAATACATTTAAGACCACTCTCAAATTTTAAACCTAATGTAAACATGTAAACAGATCAATAATAATAAACTTATCACAACTTCTATGTAAAACTGACTCCAATTATATTAACATTTTTAGCACTGGCAAAACTTTTAAAAATACCCTTAGATTCAATAAGTTTCAAATACAATTCTGAATAGAACTTACCCTATTCAATTCAACTATATCTTTCCCAAAAGGAAGCAAAATTCAATGTCTCACCTTCTAGTTCTTTTACCAATTTAGTAAATTCATGATCAAACATCATATGGTCCGGGCTAGAAAAACTTGGCTGAGGTTTTTGAGCTGCTCGGGAATAGAATTCATGTTTGCTAATGAATCCCAGTTTCTCAATAAAGTTTTCCTTGCCAATCCTCTTTTCTATCAGCTGCTTTAATTTCTCTCTGTGTAGGAAAAAGAATTACTTAAACAATCATCAATTGCTCAAAGCTGACGCTTTTTAAATCAACCCCCTCAACCCTCTCCTGACAGGTCCAATTTAACAAAGAAATTTACTTTCTAAGTAGAACAGCTAAGAACAGGACTAAACATCTAGAGTAGTATCAAGGAGGAAACATCAGATCAAAGGCAGCAGGGAATGAAATGGTCAAGTACAGAGGCAATACCTTCAGTTCTTGCAGGGAGAACTGCTTCAGTGGAGTGCAGAATGGTCAGAATTTTTTTTACAAAATGTATTTATATCCTACCTTTCCACCAAACTGGTGCACAAGGTGGCCAAAAATGAAAAAAAAAACCAAGATGAAAACAAAATGTAACAAAATTCCTGTAATTTACAGGAACGCTCCAAGCATCTGATGAAATGCACTACAGTCATCAAGCGGTAAGGCCAAAATAAACATATTGGTTCCTAAATTTATCAATTTATCATCTTATTTACCTTATTTTAACTTTAATTATTATTAGCATTATTTGTAATTTTACTGATTCTGTTGTTTTATTGTATTGTTGTTATTATTGTGGTTCTGACTTTATGTAAGCTGCCCAGAGAGCCTATGGCTAATCGAGCAGCATAAAAATCAAATAAATAAATATTAAATTTATTAACAGCTGAGGTTTAATAAATAATAAATGGGTGAGTAACAGGTGGGGTTCCAGAGGGTGGAGGGTGGCGTCAGTGGTCCCCATATTCAAAAAAGTGAATAGAGGGGATATGGGGAATTACAGGCTGATTAGCCTTGTACATTCTAGGGAAGACAATGAAAAGGCTCATAATAGGAAATGCTCTGGAGTCCCTAGACAGGGAAGGAAGGTTAGCAGCCATACAATGCGGCTTCTGCAATAACAGGTCCTGCCAGACAAGCCTTGTGGAATTCTATGACAAGGTTTTGAGGTGGCTAGATGGAGGGCACACAGTGGATGAGGTTTACCTGGATTTCAGCAAGGCCTGTGACAAAGTGCCACATGATATCCTGGTTGAGAAATTGAGTTCTGGGATAGACTGATGCACTGCCCAATGGATAAGGGCATGGTTGACAGACCAAAAGCAGAGGGTAACTATTAGTGGGGAATCATTGGGATGGTGGCCTGTGATGAGCAGGGCTCTTTCCTGGGACCAACTCTGTTCAAACTTTTCATCAATGGCCTGAAAGAGGGATGGACCAATACACTGATCAAATTTTCAGGTGACACTAGAATGGGGGTGGTAGCCACAATTGAAGAGCAGGTACTCTGGATTCAGAAAGATCTGAACAGACTATGGATGTGTGCAGGGACAACACAATGGCGTTCAATGCGGGTCAGTGCAATATCTTGAACTTGGGGCATAGGAATGGGTGTCATAAGTACAGGTTAGGGGACAAGTGGCTGGAGAACAGCACTTGTGAAAGGGATCTCAGGGTACTGGTTGGCTGCAGGCTAAACCCGAGTCAGCAATGTGATGTGGCACTCAAAAGGGCAAATGCCACCCTTGGATGCATAGCCAGAAGTGTGGCTTCTAGATCGAGAGTGGTATCACTGCCACTCCTTACAATTCTGGTGCACTCACAACTGGAGTATTGTGTTCAGTTCTGGGCTCCACATTACAGGAGAGATATAGGTAGGTTGAAATAGGTCAAGTATAGGACCACAGGGATGGTGGCTGCTTTGCAGGGAAAGCTGTATGAGGCGAGACTGAGGGAACTGGGTATTTTCAGCCTGGAGAAGACTCTGAGAGGGGTCTGTTGACAGCATATAGGTAAGTGAGGGGGTGTCACATGGAGGTGGGTAGAGACCTGTTGTCCCCTGCAGAGGAGGGCAGGATCCATCCCAAAAGAGCAAAGCTCAGGGAACCAAGGTTCAAGTCAGATGCCACGAAGTACTTCACAACAGTTAGGACCCTAGGGAATGGAATGGGCTTCCACGGGAGGTGGTTGAAGCCCCAGTGGTGAGGGTGTTCAAGTATAGGCTGGACATGCACATGGTAGGCATGTCATGAGTGAAATTGCCTGGAGCCAGGGGTCAGAGTAGATTGCCTGGCCCCTTCTGACTTATTACATTTCTATGTTACTAATCAATTAATCAATTAAATAATTTGCACAATGACACATGCTTGTCATTATAGCTTGGATATTTGATATGAGCCATTCAGTTCTATGAAAGAAACTATGGTCCATAATTCCAGTAGATAAGCTGCTAGGTAGTTCTTACAGCTTTAAACCCTGTCTATAACCAATGAAAAAATAACTCCAGGTTTGGATGAGTAATTTTTGTTTGCTTAATCACAATGGAAAGCTAATCTGTTTCCACATTTCTGTTCTGCAAATCAAATTAGACAATATGGATCACAGCTTATTTTAGAAATGAAATGAATTACTGAATAATGTAAGAGATTAATTAAAGCTCTTGGAATGGTGCAACCTTTATGTAGCATCCCAACCTCCTACTTACTTTTTATAATTCTCCAGTGAGTTGTCATTGTAATAAATGGAGATTCCTAGTAGAAGAGCACACAATCCTTGGACTAATTGCTCGTCTTCTCCAAGGTTTTCTGCTATCTGTCCTGTTAGCTAGACCTTTCGCTAAGTATATCATTATTACAAAACTGTTTGATCAATTCTTGTTATTACTGAATGCAAATATTTATTACCGGTCACAACGTTAGTTAACAAAACTACACAACCTGAATTCTAGGTATATCAAACATAAAATACAGTGAGTGGACTTTAAGATAAATTGAAACTCATACAAGTTATACAGAAGACAACAAATCCACTTCTAGCATAGTATGGGAGCTCTCTTTGCAATAATTAACATCATATTCTATATAATGCTAGAAACCAAAACGTTTGCTTAATGGTTATATGAAACTTTTTTTGGAGAAATACAACATCTCCCCTCCCATCAAATCTTCTAGGTGCACAATTTGAACCAATGACAGTTTATAAGCTATGCTGCCAATGCTTCCTGAAGTATTTTTACATATATTTTCATCAAATAGATCCTTGATACTATAATACTGGGGTACTTTATGAAGTAAACATTGTTGATGTAGTATAATGGCATTTCCTGTGGAAAATGTATAAAGTGTTGATGAGCACCCATATATTTTGAAACTTTTGTACATACACTAAAACCTTGGATTGCAAGTATAATTCTTTCTGGAAACATGCCTGTAATCCAAAGAACTTGTTGTTAGTCGCAAAGTTGTGTCCGACCCATCGTGACCCCATGGACAACATTCCTGCAGGCCTTCTTGTCCTCCACCATCCCCTGGAGTCCACCTAAGCTCACGCCGACTGCTTCAGTGACTCCATCTAGCCACCTCATCCTCTGCCGTCCCCTTCTTCTTTTGCCATCTATTGTTCCCAGCATTAGACTCTTCTCCAGGGAGTCCTTCCTTCTCATGAGGTGGCCAAAGTATTTGAGTTTCATCTTCAGGATCTGGCCTTCTAAAGAGCAGTCAGGGTTGATCTCCTCTAGCACAGACCTGTTTGATCACCTTGTGGTCCAAGGGACTCACAGGAGTTTCCTCCAACACAATTCAAAGGCCTCAATTCTTTGGTGCTCAGCCTTCCTTATGGTCCATCTTTCACAGCCATACATTGCAACTGGGAAAACCATAGCCTTGACTATACACACTTTTGTTGGCAGGGTGATGTCTCTGCTTTTTAGTATGCTGTCTAGATTTGCCATAGCTTTCCTCCCAAGGAGCAAGTGTCTTTTAATTTCTTGGCTGCAGTCCCCATCTGTGGTGATCCTGGAGCCCAGGAAAATAAAATCTGTCACTACCTCCATTTCTTCCCCATCTATTTGCCAGGAAGTGAGAGGACCAGATGCTGTGACCTTAGTTTACTTGATGTTGAGGTTCAAGCCATCTTTCGCACTCTCCTCTTTCACCTGCATCAAGAAGCTCCTTAGTTCCTCCTCACTTTCTGCCATTAGAGTGGTATTATCTGCGTATCTGAGGTTGTTGAAATTTCTCCCAGCAATCTTAATTCCAACTGGTGATTCATCTAGCCCCGCCTTTCTCATGATGTGCTCTGCATATAAGTTAAAAAGGCAGGACAACAGTATACAGCCTTGCCAAACTCCTGTCTCAATTTTGAACCAATCAGTGGTTCCGTGTCCAGTTCTCACTGTTGCTTCCTGGCCCGCATATAGGTTTCTCAAGAGACAAATAAGATGGTCTGGTACGCCTATCTCTTTAAGAACTTGCCACAATTTGTTGTGATCCACACATTCAAAGGCTTTAGCATAGTCAATGAAGCAGATGTTTTTCTGGAACTCCCTAGCTTTCTCCATGATCCAGCGTATGTAGGCAATTTGATCTCTAGTTCCTCTGCCTCTTTGAAATCCTGCCTGTACTTCTGGTAGTTCTCAGTCCACATGGTACTGGAGCCTAGCTTGTAGGATTTTGAGCATAACTAGCATGTGAAATGAGTGCAATGGTGCAGTAGTTAGAACATTCTTTGGCATTGCCCTTCTTTGGGACTGGAATGTAAACTGACCTCTCTAGCTTTCTCATGATTCAGCATGTGTTGGCAATTTGATCTCTAGTTCCTCTCCCTCTTCGAAATCCTGCCTGTACATCTGGTAGTTCTGATGCACTTTTACTGCATCACCTTTTAAGATTTTGAATAGCTCAGCTGGAATACTGTCGCCTCCACTAGCTTTGTTGTTGCTCAGACTTCCTAAGGCCCATTTGACTTCACATTCCAGGATGTCTGGCTCGAGGTCAGTGACCACCCCATCGTGATTATCAGGGAAGTTAAGCTCTTTTTTGTATAGTTCTTCTGTGTAATCTTGCCACCTCTTCTTAATCTCTCCTGCCTCTGTTAGGTCCCTGCCATTTTGGTCCTTGCCCATCTTTGCATGAAACATTCCCTTCGTATCTCCAATTTTCTGTATCTTTGCCATAAAAACCCCATGGACAGTACCAAAAGCACCTATATATCAAAGTTAATTTCCCCATAAGGTTCAATGTAATTAAGGTTAATCCGTTTTGTAACTTTTTTTTTTAATCACAAAAATTTGAAGCGGGTGCGCTCGGGGAGGGGGGGGGATATGATGCTGTACTCACACCCACAGCAAGAGAGAGAAGAATCAGTGCTCAGTTTTGATGTGATGCTCAGCAGGCAAAGCATGTATAATATTTATTTATTTACTTACTTAGCAGGCTTATATGCCGCCCCATTTGCCTAAGCCTTGGGGCAGCTTACAAATAAATAAATATCACTGGTACAATAAAATACAGTTGGAGACATCCTGGCCAAAGTTGTTAAAATCAATAAATAAAATCAACAATTAAAATGACATTTAAATAAAAAGGTCTTGGCCTGGAGCCGAAAAGCAAGTAACAAAGGCGTCAGGCAGACCTCTCTGGGGAGCGCATTCCATAGGTTGGGCACCACCACAGAGAAAGCCCTCCTCCAGGTACTCACCCTCCTAATGTCCTTCACAGAGGGCTCCTAGAGAAGGGCCTCTGCTGCTGATCTCAAGTGGCAGGAGGGCACGTATAGACGTACTTAAGTGCTCCTTTAGGTAACCAGGACCCAAGCCGTTAAGGGTTTTATAGGTGATAACCAACACCTTGAATTGGGCCCGGACTTCAATGGGGAGCCAGTGAAGCTGAAGGAGGACTGGAGTTATGTGAGCACAACGCTCAGTCCCCGTCAGCAACCTGGCAGCTCTGTTTTGCACCAATTGAAGTATCCAGACCATCTTCAAGGGCAGCCCCACGTAGAGCGCGTTACAGAAGTCTAGTCGGGAAGTTACCAATGCGTGTGTCACAGTAGCCAGGCAGTCGTTCTCCAGGTAGGGAGACGCAGCTGATGAATCAGCCGAAGCTGAAGGAAAGCGCTCCTCGCTACTGCTGTTTCTTGAGCTTCCAGTGAAATCTCTGGATCGAGGAACACTCCCAAGCTGCGGACCTTGTCCTTAAGAGGGAGTGCAACCCCATTCAGGATAAGATCCAGGTCCCCTTCCCCGAAGCCCAAGCCACCTACCAACAAGACATCCGTCTGGTCTGGATTGAGCTTCAGTTTATTGGTCCTCATCCAGCCCATTACCTCGGCCAGGCACTGGTTCAGTACAGCCACTGCCTCACCTGGATTGTAAGATTACTTGTACTGCAAGACATTGCCTTTTATCAAGTTAAAATTTAGAAAAACTTTTTGCTCATCTTGCAAAACACTTGCAGACCAAGTTACTCGCAATCCAAGGTTTTACTGTATTAGGTAACAGCAATTTATACTACAACACTAGTGTTTACTGCATAATGTGTAGAGCCCACTGTCTTGGCTCAGGTGCACAATTTTTGCTCTTAAAGAACATTATCTTTAATTCAGAAGCATTAACCACTAATTTTTCAAAAGGATACAAATGGAATATTGGCTGGATTGTGAAGAAAATGTGTGACAGCAATAGGGCAGTTGCTCAGCCAGGTACAAAGCAGCATCAGTAATCCAACTCTTGTTTGCACTTTGCTTCCCTAAAATAAAACAAAGAAAAATGCTATTTTATTTACAGGGCTTCTGTTTCCCTCACACATTTGCTGCTTTGAAGCATTGTCAAAACCCCCAGAAAGCTTACATACTAGTCAAGAAATGATCCCACAATTATTCACTGAGTGAAACCATTCAGTTATTTCCTCTATTTTGCTAGTTGTGAGTGCCTTATTATAGAGAAAATGCCACCATCCAATCCCAAGAGGCTTGGAGAAAATGTTAGTTTTACAGAAATACCAAAACAACCAGCCAACCTACAAAATAGCCCATTGAGGACTGAGCATACTCAGTCATTAGAGAACACTGAGTCAGAGAGAAAGAGATGAGTAGGGAGATGGAATCAGTCTGGAAAGAGGGTGGTGAGGTTAAGGCAGCTTGGAAGGCTTCAAATGCTGTTGACCAGCCAGCAGGAGAGACTAGCTGAAAATCAAAACTAGATGTTACTTTAATCGTTGTTATTAGCAACTACACTAGGGCTTAATTTTGTGTATTTTTTTAAATATTGGAAGGGAGCTTTAATCTTTCCCTCCTTAGCCATAATTGCAATGTGACTAACATGCTGCCAGCACGACAATTGCTTTTGTTCTGACTTATGTGGGGGATGAGCTGGAATTGTGGTCAATGAGGCAAGGTTTAAAGCTGCTGTGACCTATGGTCATGAATAATACATTTTTTAAAAAGCCAGGATTGGTTGCCAAGCAGGCAATACAAGCAGTATCTAGTATGTTCCTGTCACTATATTTGGGTATAAACACCATATACTGAAGAAAGCTGACATGAAGAATATTGATGCATTGAAAACAGGGTGCTGGTGGAGAGACTGCAAATACCCTGGACTGACAAAAGCATGAACAAGTGGGTCCTGAAGCAAATCAAGCCAAACCTTTCCCTAGAAACAGAAATGACCAAACTGAGGCTGTTGTACTTCAGGCACATCATGAGAAGGTAAGATTCAGTGGAGAAGACCAAATATGAGGTGGTTTACCCCACAAATGAAACCTCAGCCCTTACTGAGCAAGGCTGTCAAAGACAAAACATTTCGAGGCGCATCCATTCACAAGGTCGCCATAAGTTGGAGATAACTTGATGACATGTAACAATGATGTTTGTCCTGACCGAAGAGGCAAAGGTTGTATAAAGGAGGATAAAGAGGAGAGTAGAAAGTGGGCAGTTTCTCTCAGTTGTCTTTTACTCCAATTTTCTGCTTCTCTTTCCTCTGAGAGAAATGAGGAAATGACTACAGAGGAAGACCCACTAAAGAAAGAGGATTCACATTGTATGGAGGTTCCAGTTTCACACTAATTTTTAAATATCTGCTGACAGAACATTTTACTTTATCAATCTGGCTTTGAGGCCAAATATATGCCAAGAAGGGGGAAAAATGAAATATAGTATTAATGATAACTCTATTAGCATATAAACAAGAGGTGGGTGACTTTGAAAGGCTAGGAACCATTTTTGCCCCAAGAATAACCTTTTCAGCCCTGTGGGGCTAATAATGGGGGTGGGGATTTAAAAGCACAAATGAAATGGTGCCAGAAGCTTCTATGAAGCACTAAAGAGATCAAAATTAGCTAATGCTGAACCTTTTAAGATATGACAGCAGCCGCATACATTTTTAAGGATTATTTTTGTGCTTCTCCAAATTTCAGGTGACAGAATACATACATGCTGCCAGCCCAAATGTAAATAGTACTTTCATAGAGAGTTTTCCTTTTTTCACTAACAAAATATAGGTGTAAAAGAGATAATCACTGGAGTAATATCCTGCAGTGTAAACAGCACATCACACAAGAATAGTGTACAAGGTCTAACTGAACCTCAGTTTTTTAAACATAAAACATACCATTAACATACATAACAATGCATTAATCACAAGTTATGAATTAGCTGAGACAACAAATTTCAAAGAACTTGTAACCATAGCACACATTAGTCTAGTACAATCACCACATATTAGAATTGCAGAAGCAGAGCAGACAACATGGTTACATGATCACAATAATATTGTGATTTTCTGTCAGGTAACATCTTCCCTTCATTCGGTAATGGCAGGCCCTATTCCACTTTCCTTTGTATCTATTCTTAGCCCAGGATTTGATCAACTCTACAGTCAGGTCTGTGAGGAAGAGATGGCTTGTGGGATGTTCACACCACTGTGGGTTGTTTAGTTTGTTTACAATATAGGCATTTGAACAGGCACTGTTCACTGTATTTGAAAAAAGCACCACTGCCAATTTGGAAGTTTTGTGGATACTATCTTATCACAGGTATACCTGCTTTAGTTTTATAATAAAGAATGACCTCTGGGTTGGATCTGATGCCAGTGATAGCTATATCTTTACGCAGTTTCAAAATGAGAGTCACTGACAATCTACGGTCAAATCTTTTTTGACAACCAAAAATGCCACTGTTCAAACACCTAGATTTGCAGAATATGAATTCTGGAGGAATTTATGGCTTCTCTCTCCTCCTCACTTCCAGATGTAAACCATAGTCATTTTTTCCTTTGAAATTTCCTTGGCTAGTAGCATTCTGACATCATACTGGAAAATTTGTCCGTTGTTACAGTTCACCTAGAAATGTGTAAGTTTGCTATTAGTTTCACAATCGTTGCCTTGCTTAAATTTTGAGCTGCTGCAACACCCAGATATACATATCAGCATCATAAACAGAAGATGTTTCAGAATCCCAATGCAGCAGGGATTTTACATCATACTTTGTGGAATGGCATACACTGAATACCACTAATTGTTAATCTACAATAACATACGGAGCAATGCAATGGAAGATTACATCAGAAGCAGTACATAAACATGCCCCACACTTCCAGAGTTTGAAGAATTATATGGGATATTCTAACTGGAAAAAGTTGTAAAATTCAGTGCTATAAAGGGTTTTGTAAACCCATGGTGAACTATGAAAATAAATACAGTGATTCCTATGTCATGGTAGAACAACTGAAATATTGTATTGTGAACTATTTGAATAAATCGTCTTGCTACTACAAAATCCAAATAAAATGATGTTCACTGCTCACATTTTATATGTTGAAGGATCTGTAGCTAGAATAAAAAGATACAGCCACACCTCAGAGATATTGCAGATTGAGTGCCAGATATGAATTTTTATTTTCCCTGTGCATGTAAAATACTTTGCTAAAAATGCTAATCATCATGACATTGCAATAGGAACATCAAAGATAACTGATGACAGATCACCTTAACAAATATAATAAAATTTGAAATATTGCAAGAATTACCAACATGTGAAACAAGAGACAGTAAGTAAGCAAATGCTGTTCAAAAAATGGTGCTGATAGACTTGATGCAGAGTTGCCACAAACTTTCAATTTGTAAAAAACTGCAAAGTGCAATAAAGTGAAGTTCAATAAAATGAGGTATGTGTGTATGTCAGCTCTGCAGTATAGCTCATATTTCAAGCCAGGCACTGAGTGATTTAGAAAACAGTTGAGAGTAGCTAGGCTGAAGCTAAAAGAATAGCTTACAAGAGTGTTGCATTTTTATCATCGCCTTTCTTCCCACTTTGCAGGTTGGGCTGAGAGACAACCCTGCCATGTAGTTCACCATTATATTCTAGTGCAGTTTGGAGGGCTGTGTTGCAATGTAGTTCACTGTTAATACTGCAGATCAGAATTGGGGTGGAGAATGGTTTATTTTGAAATGAATCTCATTGTATTCAATATACTTAGGATTGCAACTCTGTCATCAGTAGGTCAGATTCATAATCCATTTTTTAAATTCTTCCTAGCCTGTGCATATGGCCCAATATTCCTAAGAACTGTAGAGACATGGAAACAGAATTGGGTTTTGAAAAGGCATGAATAGTATAATGAAATATGGAATATGGCAATTAATGATAAACTGATGATAGAAATAAAAAATTAAAAAGGGTTAATGAAAGCAAATGAATATAATGAAATTTGGGAACATTTTGTAAAAGCAGTACCGATAGAAGGCAAAGGTTGCAAACCCAATCAAGATTATATGAATTTCTGGAGGGGATATGGGTATAATTAAAGTATATTATATATTTTTAATTGGTATAGTATGTGTATGATGGTAATATTGGTCTCCGGGGTGGTGGGTGCACTCTTTCATTTATTGTTTTTTAATTATTGTGTTCTTGTTACATTATTATTGTTGTGATTGTATTTATGGGGGTTTTTTCTGTCTAAAAAGGGGGGGAACTATAGAGACAGGAACTATAGAGATAGTTCCCCCCCTTTTTAGACAGAAAAAAGGGGGGGGGATTTTGATTTTCATGGTCAAAATGAAAATCCCCAACTAACAGCAGAAAGAGTGGGGTGGACAAATGGACTACTGAGTACTTCTTTGTTTTAAACAAGGAAAAAACAGTTTGCCTGATACATCTTGAAGCTGTCTTGGTATTAAAGAAGTACAATGTTTAAAGGTACTAGAGGAGACTCCGAGGGGATCTGTTGGTGACATACAGGTAAGTGAGGTGGAGGTGGCTGGAGACCTGCTTTCCCCTGCAGAGGAGGGCAGGATGTATTCCAATGCAGCAAGGCTCAGGGAACCAAGGTTCAATTGGGATGCCCGGAAGTACTTCCTGACAGGACCTCTAGGGTATGGAATGGGCTTCCACAGGAGGTGGTTGAAGCCCTGTTGGTGAGGGTGTTCAAGGATACACTGGACACACACATGGTAGGCATGTCATGAGTGGAGCTGGCTGGAGCTGGGGGTCAGAATAGATGGCCTGGGAGACCCCTTCTGACTCGCTCTGTTTCTGAATTTCTATGTTTTCTTAGTTGATGTCAAGGAGAAAGGAAAAGGTCATGAAGTACTTTCTGTCCTTGGATGGATTTTTGATTTGGCTTTCTTAACGAATATCACAGAACATCTGTACACAATGAATCTAAGGAAGCAGGGAATTGGAAAGCTTGTGTGACATGCATTCTGAATTGAAAACTTCTGAAGAAAAAACTAAACTTTTTTGTGAA